CTCCCCCCCACCTCCCATCTTTCCCCATGCTTTCCTGGTGATCGACGATCGATTGTGTCTCTGTGTGCTTTTTTCCCCCTCCTGCAGCCCCTCGCCCCCCTCGCGGGGCGCCCTGGGCCGCCCGCGATGCCAGGCACCTGGCCCGCCGGCTGGCAGATCCGCGTGTCCTTGTCCTGCCGGCGGGCGTCTCCGACGGCTCCGGCTCCCTCCCCCTCCCCCTCCTCCTCCTCCTCCTCCTCCTCTCCTCCTCCTCCTCCTCCTCCTCGCTCCTCCTCTCCTCTCCTCCTCCTCCTCCTCCTACTCCTCCTCCTCCTCCTCCTCCTCCTCCTCCTCTTGCCTGTCGCTCGGACGCCCAGTTCCCGTGCATGTTTCGGTTCCTAGCGGGTTTTTTGTTCCTCGATGGTCCAGGATGGTCCTCGATGTTTCTCGCCGAGAAAAAAATGCACCCGTCCAAGCGATGCCAAGTCCTCCGCCGCCACGTGATCGTCCGCGTCTTCTCCTCGCGTCCTGCTCCTCCTCCACACCCCACTCCTCCGCGTCCACCGCATCCTCCTCAAGCTGTCCCTCCTCTTCCTCCCCCTTCGCCTCCTTCCATCGTCCTCCCCCTTCCCCTCCTTGCCCAGTCGCCCCCCCGTCCCCTCTTCACATCTCCTCTCTCCTCCTTCCCCCCTCGTTCTCATCATTACCACCCCCACAAACTACCCCCCCTCCGCGTCCCCTTTTTCCTCCCTCATCTCATCTCCTTTCTACCCCTACTCCTCCTGATGCCCCTCCCCTCCACCTCTCCCCCCACAGATGCTGTCGTCGCAATCGTTGTCATCACTATCGTATTCTCCTGTTCCGAAACGCTGCTGCGTTTGGCCTCCGCCAAGTAGCCAAGTGGACACTACTAAAAACGATACTGCGCTACAGGCGAGCACCCTCCTCCGTCATCCCGCCCCCCTCCTCACCACCCCCTTCCCCCTCACTCATCCCCTTTGATCTCCCTCCTCATCCTGCTTCCCACTACCTCCTGCCTCCTGCTCCTTACTAAATGCGTACAGAACGACCAGGGTCACATCCGCAAATTCGCCGGCCCAACGGGCAAGAGGCGTGCTAAGATCTCCAGCAACTGCTTTACAATATTTCTACTTCGCGCGCGCGGGGCGGCCCCTGGGGGTCCCGGGACGAAAAGTACCCCGGCCTGTTGGGATCAGAAATGATTTTCCTTCTGTGCGCCGCCCTTCAGGCTCTCCAGAGCGCTCTAAGAGGGTCCCCAAAGGCCCCCAGGACGGTCCAAGAGGGCTCCCATTCATCGAACGATCGGTCCAAGACGCCCAATGTGGCCTTCAGACGGCACAGGACGCCTGTCAAACGCCCCGGGAGAACACCAAGAGCCCTCCCAAGAGAACCCCCAGAGGCAAAAAGCAATGGATTTCCGAAGTTTTTCAAGGATTTAGGCGTTCTCGCGTTTTCGTCTTACCAGCGCTTCAAGACGGCCCAAGAGGCCCCCAAAACGGCCCCAGAGGGCCCGAAGACAGCCTATGTCAGAGCCCTGCAAGACGGCCGAAGAGGCCCCCAAGAGAGCTCCAAGAGCGGGCCCTGACGAGGCGCCCGAGCGGACATGTCAGCTCTCGGCCCCGAGAGGCCCCCCGAAGGCCCCAAGAAGCTCGCAAGAGGCCCCAAGAGGCACCCAAGAGGCCCCCGAGAGGCCTGTCAAGAGACCCCACGCAGCCTCACAAACAGGCGTCTTGTCCACGGTCAAGTTTGGCCCCAAGATGCACCAACAAACGATCGAGAGGCCTCCTCCTCATCCTCATCCTCCCTTCTTCCTCCTCCTCCTCCTCCTCTTCCTTCTCGCTCGCCACGAGCATCCCTGACGATTCTGACCCACAACACACGCACAACGGTGGGATGGGTTCCAGGCGCCCTTCAATGCGCCCAAGATGCGTCCCAGATGCGCAAGATGGCTTCCAAGACGGACCTGGGAGGCCACCGAAGCCGCCAATACGGCCGAGTATGCCTCCAAGACAGCCGAAGAAGCTCCAAAGAAGCCTCAAGAGCACTCCAAGAAGTCCCACACGAGGGCCCACGGAGACGCAATTCAGTGATTTTGATCGTGATCTTCAATGTTTTTCACGCTGTCGCCTTTTCGAGCGTCCGGAGCTCCAAGACGGCCCCATGGGCCCCCAAGAGGCCCAAGAGGCTCCCAAGAAAGTCCCAAGACATTTCGAACCGGCCCCGAACCGGCCCAACAAGCGCCGAAGACAGCCCAAAAAGCTACAAAAAGGCCCCAAGACGGGCCCAAGAGGGGGAACACGAACCAACAATTCGAGAGGAGGAGGAGGAGGGAGGAGGGAGGGCGTCCAGGAGGGGGAGGAGGGAGGAGGAGGGAGGAGGGAGGAGGAGGAGGGAGGAGGAGGAGGGGGGCGTCCAGGAGGGGGGGTGGGCGCCAATCGTGGCCAGCGGCCCGTGCGCGGCCGCCCCCCGATCTGAGAGGCAGGGGGTGCTTCGAAGAGCCCCCCCCCCCCGCACGCGGCTGACGAAGGCTGCGCACCGGAGGGCACCCCGGGGAAGGGTCCCTCCTGGCCATCGCTCGGACGTCCATTCCCTGTGTTTTTCGGTCTCGTGCGTGGCTTTTTCGCCAAATGCTCACGGATGCTTCTCGATGGTCCTCGCCGAAGGAAAAATGCACACGTCCGAGCGATGCCAAGCCTCTCTGTGCGCGCCGCGCCAAGGCTCGGGCGTGCTGGTGCCCCTCGCGCCCGGCCGCCGAAGTCGAGAGCACCGCCCGGGCGGCCGGGGCGGGTCGTCGGACTTGCCGGCGACCCAGCCCCAGATGGAGTCGACACCGTCCAGTACCTCCCCGTCCCAACGCTCCGAGGGATGAGGTGAGAGGGGTGAGGTGAGGCGAGGGATGAGGTGAAGAGAAGGAAGGCAGAGGGAGAAGGAGACGCAAGAGGTGCAGGAGGGGGAGGAGCAGGAGAAGGACAAGGATAGTCGAGTAGAAGGCGGACGGAAGTGGACGGAGAGATGGAGAGGCATGTGGAGTAGACGAAACAAATAAGAAAGAGGAGGAGGGTAGGGAGGAGGCGGAGGAATGAGGAAGGGGGAAGGGAGATAGAGGAAAGCAGGGATGAGAGGCAGCAAGGGGGATAGAGGAAGCAGCAAGGGGGATAGAGGAAGCAGGAAAACAGATAGGGAGATAGAGGAAGCAGGAAGGGGGATAGAGGAAAGCAGGGAGATAGAAGAAGAATAAGCAAAAGGCAGAGGAGGGAGGGAGAATGGAGGGATGGGGGGGAAGGGAGGAGGAAGGAAGCAGAAGACGGAAGGAATAAGGAAGATACAGGAGGGAGTATATGGAGAATGTCGCTGCATGGCTCGGTGTCCATCGGACGGCCGAAACGTGCTCGGAAAAACAGACCGTCCTTGAGGCCCAGGACATTGCCATGCCTCGCTGACGATCCTCAGCTGCAGACGAGAACCACGACGACGGCAAGGACGACGACAACGATCCTCCCACTGCAAGATCTTCTGAATCCGTGGGAAAAGCACTGTATGTTTTTTGGCGTTTTTCCCCACTGTTTTTTTGTTGTGTTTGCTCCCACAATGTTCTTTTCCCACAGTGTTCTTTTTTATATTCTTTTCCCACAGACCTCCTTCGGGGCATCGCCCAATTGGGGGAACGGCCACGGCGACTTCCGCTCAGATCCAGGCGCCGTGCAGCAGGCCAAGGCGTTCGTTGTTGCTGCGTCTCGGGCGCTAGAACTCTCGCTGTTCTTTTGGTCAGGACGTCGTGCATCCCGAATAGTTTTTGCCTAGAGGTTGGCTCGTGGCGTAACGTGTCTAATGGCGATGGCATTATGGGTCCCCGTCTTTTTTTTTGCTGTGAAGAAGGCCCCTCGTTGGGTTCTCGTCACTCGTTGAAGGAGAATTCGCTACCGAAGCAACGTGGCGGCACATTAATAAATACGAAGCATCTACTCATGGAGAAGACACCAGGATGTTGCCAATCCACCTTGGGATCGGCTGACGCGTTGATATTTCTTCTGGCAGTGGTCACGGCTTGAGGAAGCGAACGGCATGCCATGCCGCCAGCTGACAACTATCAAAGGCGCGCCGAACTCGTGCTTGCAAGGCAGTAAAAGAATTTGCTCTCGCACAAATGATCAGTGTCAGAAAAAATTTGATTTAGTTGTTTTGTATCCTATGGATACATGGGAGCTGCATGCACTTGGTTAGGCTCCGGCAACGAATTCACTTTGTTCTTCCGTCCGCATGCGAATGTTCGAATGCTTCGTTTTGGGCGAGACCTGTAATTCGCGCAAGAGCTGAATGACATTGTTCAAATGCCGGTCATGTCGTACCTGCATGGCTTTGATCTCCGCGTGCAGCTTTTGCAAATCAAAATTGGTGGCAGCTCCTTTCAGCAACATGCAGCCGTTCACAAACGAACTAATATCAACCATCCCATCGTCATCTTGGACCTCAGCCATGTAATGAAAAAACTCGAAAAGATGATGTCTTTGAAGCCCCATGGTCTTGATCAACGCGGAAATTTGCTTCTTCCGCATGCCTAGCTTGAACTCCTCCGACGACAACTTGCCGTTGACATCCCCGTCGACGCTGCGGCAAATGCGCTCGAGCTTACGGGCGTCCTCCTGGGCGAGAGTATCCGCGTCTGGTTTGAGGATGCACATTGCTGAATCCACGAAAATACCTGTGATGATGTTGATCAGAGGATGATGATGGTGAATGAAGCAAACTAACCAAGGAATAGCTCCATTGAAATATGACTAATCACCACCAGCTGGACCAGCATGGCGTAGTCGCTGTGCACGATCATCAGCAAGAATATGAAGTCCCAACTCACAAGCTGCTCTCATCATCCTTGCTCGCATTGAAAGTGTCTGAGCCTGGCCACGGACAGTCCAGCCAGTCTTCGACGTAACTCTTGGTACACTTGTCAAAAAATTTGCTTGGACACGATTCGTGGTGGCAACAGCGCCACGAGCTGCTTGATGGTATGGGCATTCAGCCCAGATATGTCTGAAAGAAGGCCACGGGTGATCGCAGTGCGGACACGGGTTCCCCGACTGGCGTCTCGTTTCTGATGATACTGCCCCTGAAAGAAATATGCTGAGCAACTTCTTCTTGGCATCATCTAGGCCTCTGGCCCACTTAGAATAATACGGATGTGAAGGAACTTCAATATCCACAGACTCGATTTCTTCAGCATCCCTCCTCTTTGAATTGACTTGCTGAAGACACTTCAGGCGGGCAACCTGCCGAAGGGCATGTTCAGCTCGTCGCTGGTAGCGTTTATCCTGATACCTGCGAGTCCAAAACCTTGTCGTCTGAGGAGCAAACAAACTTCGCACTGCATCCAGGACACGATGATCATCACGGGGATCACACTCGAGTAAAACTCCCTGCTGCTCTGAATATCTGATAAGAGTGAGGCCAAGGATCGCAGCGTGTGCACTCAGCGAGTGCCCCAGAAACTCCGACCACTCCAGGGACTCATCCATCACTTGGAAAGCATATAACGCTGCACCATATCTGGGATGAAGGTGTGTTCTTTGGGCCTTCCATCGGCCTTGACACCACCACTTCGTGGGCGTCCTGATGATAGCCCTGTGCAGAAGCCGAGGTACGTCATCAGGAACCGGTGCAACCACAGGAGCCGCCCAATACCATAACGGTCGTATGTACGAGACAGCCAGGCGCTCACGAACATCTGAACCTCCTGGAATGGACTTCAGCGTCTCGATGGCCTGGTAAACTTTCTGCCATCCCTTCCTTGGTAGGATTGGATACTCTGGATCAGCTGGGCGACACTTCAACCCCAAGTGTTCAACGACACGCGGTGGGTCATCATCTCGGCTCCAACGTTGACGTTTGTTCTGGTTCTCGGCGAACCCAACATCTTGATCAAACTTGGTCGTGAAATGAAGCTCCTCATCAACGATAGCACTCGTAGCATTTGTCAGGCTACGATCGTCCATGTAGGCCATTCCACCACTGGGCTGCCACGGCACAAGGCAGGCACACATGCCAGCAGGAGCAACTGCATCCCCCTGCGGCAATCCACGTTCAACATAAATAGGGCTCGTCATCTCGCCTGCGACACACAGATGCCGTGGGCCACGCCAAGCCGCGAGGGCGGTGAAGACGACGCTGTGCGGAACTTCCTCACGAAGAAGAGCCTCCACTCCGATCTCATGATCGATATTGTCATACGCACGGGACAGATCCATCTCAGCCCCAGCCTCAGAATTTGAAACCTCAGCAAGCCACTTGGCGATAGCTTTGACACAAGAGATTCCACGCTTGCACGCCCATTGATTGGACGTGGGAGTTGGTAAGGAAGTCGCCAACGCAGACATCCAACATCTCAAAAGTAAAGAACCAACTGGTATTGGTCGAAGATCTGTCTCACTTTTTGGGATACCGACCACCCTCCATCCGAAAACCATGTCACTGAAATTCTGTGGAAGACGACCCTGACGTTCGACAGCCCAGAGCGATGTCTGACACCACAGCTCGTGTAACTCCAGGATCAGCTCGGGGAACAACTTTCGTACAGCCCGCAATTCATGTGCTCCCCACCCGTCAAGGCCAGCAGCACCTTTTGCATGTGATATGATATGATCCAGTGTATCAATTGAGGGCAACCAATCTACTGGCCTGTCTGACTTTGGAAATTCCACATTGTCTGCATACCCTTTCCAAGCACGCACATGCTGACGGGCACGATCAGGAGGACCACCTGGGCACCACTGCCGTTGCCAGTCATCTCGCATTTCCTTGGCCCCGAAGGGCGGTGCTGGTGCTGACTGCCTGAAGATCGGAGTCGTCAGCTTGTAGAGATCCCTCGACCAGGTCGCAAATCTCTTTTTCCACTCTTTGGACTTCTGCAACTGCATAACTTTGTTCTCCTTCGCGATGGCGGTGGAGACAATCTCGAGCGCGTCCGCATACGTTGGGAGGCCGTCCTTCGGGCGCAAGATACCGTCGATGCCCGCCTGGCCAAACTGCTGCAAGCGCCTGCCACTGAGTACCTCGTCAGGCGTGTGCTCACCACCTGCACGTATGTAGTTGGAATACCGTCGGTGAAGCCGTAGTAGCCTTCGCAACGCTATCGTCTGCTCTGGTCGGTGCACGGATCCAGTCCCGACTGGGCGCGTGGAAGGCGCCGATCCTTTCGGCCTCTCGGCCTGCCTATTCATGATGACGAGGTCGTGCTCCACTGCAATGTGTAGCCCAAGCTCTGCACGTCGATGCCAGCGCTGCCAAGCTTCATACAGGGAGGGAGGACCCATCTGATCGTGCTGGTCACGCTGGTCAAGTTCATCTTGAAGCTGCTGACACTCTTCCTCTGGCGGAACTCGCTGGAGGACATAGTCAGCTGTATGATGAAGTCGTACCATGGCCCTGGTCCACAGGGGAACTTGAATACGATATCTGACAAGCCCATGGTGAGGGATGCCAGGGAGTAACTTCATGTCCTCGCACTGCGGAGGCTGCGCTGCAAGACTACCAAAGAAGATTGCTCTCGCGGGAGTCGTAGCGACTGCTGTCGTTGGAACTGTTTGCTGTGCCATCTGGAAGCCTGGTCCCAGCAGGTGCTGGTACGCATTCCTCCAGTTGAGGTCCCCGAAGATGAAGATGGGGTGGCCATCAATGCCTAAGCATTGGACGTACTGCAGGAAGTGGGAGAACCACTGCATGCTGAACTCCTGCGGCGCATAGACCGAGAGGTAGGTCGCCACCGCTGCGCGTATGCCCACCATGCGGTGGGAGAGGGTGTCGTCCCGTATGACTGTAGCTCGTCCCACACGTCGTCGCCGCAGGATAGC